AAAAAAAAAAGACCTGAAAAAATAAATCATATTCTTATAAAAATTCTCCCTAAATTAATTAAACCAGTCAAGCATATTTAAGTGATTATTGTAGTCCCACCTTGTTTATGGATTCTCTTTCTGCAGTTTCAGTTATCCATGACAACTGTAGTCCAGAAATATTAAATGGAAAATTCCAGAAATAAAAATTCATAAATTTTAAATTGCTTATCTTTCTAGGTAGTATGTTGAAATCTGGCACCATCCCATTATATCCAACCCATGATACGAATCATCCCTTTCTCCAGTGTGTCCATATCTCAGCAACTTAGCAGTTGAGTCATTTAGGAGTTGTCTCAGTTATCAGATCAACTATCTATTGCAGTATGCCAGTGCTGTGTTCAAGTAATACTTACATAGTAGCATAACCCTGTGTTACAATGCCTTTGTCATTCACCTCACTTCATCTCATGATATAGGCATTGTATCATCTCACATCATCATTACAAGAAACAGAAGGGGACAATACAGTAAGATATTTGCCACATTCACATAAATCTTATTATAGTACATTATTATGATTCTATTTTATTATTATATCACTTACTAGACTTAATTTATAAATTAAACTTTTAAAAATAGGTTTTTATTAGTTGTTGATGGACCTTTATTTTATTTCCTTATTTATATATGGTGCTGAGAATTGAACCCAGTGCTTCACACATGCTACACAGCAAGCACTCTACCACTGAGCCTCAACCCCAGACCCTATAAATTAAACTTTATTATAGGTTTGTACCTATAGAAAAATCAGAGTATATGCAGTACAGGGTTCAATGCTATTCACAGTTTGGGGCATGCACTAGGCATCAGATCAACTATCTATTGCAGTATGCCAGTGCTGTGTTCAAGTAATACTTACATAGTAGCCTGACCCTGTGTTACAATGCCTTTGTCCCCTCCCCCCACCTTTTGAAATTCTAGGTAGCAAATATTACCACAAACAGAGAACAACCTGAGAAAATGTTTCTCAGAAAAAAAACTAATGTTGCTGATATACTTAAAGGGCTTACCAGTTTAGTAGAATAAAGAAAACAAAACATTTAAACACAGAGTTCACAAAAGCAAAGAACTATAACTGACTCTTATGAAAAGTTGCTCACTATATGGTGTACTATACTCATTGATTTATATTTTTATAAATATTCATGGGAAGGGTAAACAAGAAACTGATACTTACTAGGAGGAAGACTTAGTTGCAGAGGCACAAGTTTAGAATCTAAATAGCCAGGCATGGTGGCGCATACTTCTAATTCTAGCAATTTAGCAAGATTGTATGTCAGAAAAATAATTTTTTTTTTTAGTAAGTTGCCTTTTTAAATTTTTTTTTTACTTGTAGATGGACACAATGGCTTTGTTTATTTATTTTTATGTGGTGCTGAGGATCGAACCCATTGCCTCACACATGCAAGGCAAGTGCTCTACCACTGAACTACAGCCCCAGCCCCCTTATGTCAAAAATTCTTAAAAACTCTGGGAATGTAGCTCAGAGGTAGAAACACTCCTGGGTTCAATGCCCAGTACCACTAAATAAATAAATAAAGCAAGCAAGCTGGGCATGGTGGCACATGCCTGTGATCGTAGTGGCTCGGGAGGCTGAGGCAGGAGGATTCCTGAGTTTAAAGCCAGCCTCAGTAACTTAATGAGGTCCTAAGAAACTCAGTGAGATCCTGTCTCTAAATAAAATCTGAAAATGGGCTAGGATGTGGCTCAGTAGTTAATACCCCTAAGTTGAATCCTCAGTACAGAGATAATAAAAATAATAAAGTATATAGAAAAGACTTGGGATGTAATCCAGCAGTAGAGTACTCTGTTAAATTCTCAGTACCACAAAAAAATATATATTATATATATATATGGGGGCAGTACTGGGTGTTAAACACAGGGGCACTTGACCACTGAGCCACATCCCCAGGCTTTTTTTTTTTTTTTTTCTTTTGAGACAGGGTCTCTCTTAAGTTGCTTAGGCTTTGCTAAGTTGCTGAAGCTGGCCTTGAACTTGCAATCCTCCTGCCTCAGCCTCTTAAATTGCAGGGATTACAGGCATGTGCCAGTGCATCCAGTGAGTTTTTTTTTTCTTTAGCAGTCTGTAATCTGCCATGTAATTCAATTATCAATATATAGTGTTTGAGACAAAAAGAGGTGTGATTTAGGTTTATTTAGATCTTCACTAGTCTCAGACACACACACACAAAAAAATGAATTTCTGATTTTAGAGTATTAAATGTAAATAAAAGTTATTGTTTTACATAGGAATATAGACATTTTAATGGAGCACATTAATACCATGATGATGTTATTAAACTATAGAGATTATTGAGAATTGATGTATACATATAAGTAAAATTAAACATTGAATGATTTATCAATGAATAGGTATTGATTTAGTAGATATTTATAGTAATGGGAAATAAAGTAGATCAGTATTGCTATATTTCATCTAATCTTAGATCTGAACAATTATGACACATAATTATGAGACATAATTATTTTATATATCCTTAAGAAAAAGAAAAAGGCTTCCAGTTCAACTGGGTGAGTTACCATAAATTCTAAGACTTATCCTGATTTCAGGATTATTACAATTTTTAAATTGTTTCTTAAAATTACTAAATTATAGGAAAGGTGTCAGAGATTTTCATTCACTTTTTAAAGGTAAAATTTTCAAAAATCAATATTCAGAAACACACATGAATTTTTTAGGTTTCTATTATTTAGGATTTTCATCTGCATTTACCAATAGCACAAAAACCATCTATCCATTCAAAATTAAACATTTTCATTATAACTTCAGTGTAAATACCAAATTCTTATACTTAATTGAATTTGAAATGAAGTTAGCCTACTATAAAAACTTTGATGATGAATGTGAAGTACCCTCGGGGAGTTAGCCAGGACCCTTTTAGTTGTAAGCATCAGATTCCCACTGAAGCTATCTCAGGAGTGTTAGGGGCATTTCATGGAATCTGAGGACAGAAATTTTGCTGGGCTCAGGGAACAGAGCTCTGGATAATCTAACTTGTCCTCTCCATCTTTCATCTCTGGTTCTCTTTGCTGGACTCCCTTGAACTACTTTTTTCCTGTAGATCTTATTTCCCTGCTCCAAAATTCAGGAATAGAAATGTAAATGTTAGCTTGGCATGCAAGACTGTAATCCCAGCAGCTCAGAGGCTGAGGCAGAAGTATGGTGAGTTCAAAGCCAGTCTCAGCAAAAAACAAGGCGCTAAGCAACTCAGAGAGACCCTGTCTCTAAATAAAATACAAAATTGGGTTGGGGATGTGGCTCAGTGGTCGAGTGCCCCTGAGTTCAATCCAAAGTACCCCCAAAAAAATAAAGAAAGAAAGAAATACAAATTTTGCTCCCAATTTTTACATTTGCATTTCGATTGTACAAGAAGCAGCCATATTAAGCCTAGAATGCTGCATTTCCAATTTCAGAGTTTTCTAGAGCAGGATTTTAATCCAACCTAGGTCTTTTGGAAGAGTCAGCTGTGGCCTGGGAGCAGGGTCATGTAAGAACATACAAGTTCCCATTGTATGAGTCGGAAAAGAAATGAGAGACAGTTGATAACAGAGAAGTAAGGAATCATTATATTCCTTACAGAGATAGTCTGTTGACTATCTGCTTAATGAAACCTTTTATGATTTCCATATGAGGATTATAAAATACTTAGACATAGATGCTTTCAAGATCCATTTGATAGAAGTGTTATTATGTCTTTATATTAATCAGGTAACTAAACCTGCTTAATTAGATATACAACAGATATTGGTGACCTGAATTTCACATTGCAGAAAGTAGTTTTGTAGTGAATTTCCACTATACTTAAAAAAATAAATATAATTTCATTCCATCTAGATGTTATTCATATTTACTTTAAATTTTGATAAAAATTAAACAGAACTTATCAATGTTAAAATGTATATGCCACAATGAAATATATTGTCGTTATTATTTTTGTATCTTTTTAAAATTGTTCTTGGCTTTGGAAACCATTTAGGGCAAATAACATTGTGTAAAGAAAACATGGGTTTAAGTTCTATTTAACTTAACAGTGAATTGGAAGTTTATTCAGTTTTTTCACATGTTAAAACTCATCATTTAGGTATACCATGTACTAGGATTATAAATTATTAGATTATAGCAATTGTCATTACATTATAAATTATTAGAATAATTTATTATTAATTTAATCTATGCCAGAATTGATCACTTTCAGCAGCTTAGGAAAAAATTCATTTCTGTGTGTTCTCCTCCAGGGTTCTAATGCTAAATTTTGTCTTTTTATTTAGTTTAATAACATGTTTAATAAGTTACTGGGTAATGGTGAGGAAACCTAGTCCTGTCTATTCATTTGGGTAAGTTCAAATTATTCTATTTTCTGCTATAAAATAATAATGTACTAAAGAGCAAGCTCTTGTGTTTATGGAAAATAAATGCTACCTATTTACTGATATGGTGACCAAATAGTGAAAGTAGATAGAAAAGTGTCCTCTAAGAGGATTCTAGGAAAGAAACATGAATATTTAAAATATAGATCTTATTAAAATAAAATTTTCACATTTAGATCTTTATATTTTATAAAAATATTAACATAAAATGATCACATTAAGTTTTCTAATAATTTGAGAATCTCTTATTTTAGAGAAAGTATGAAGGGAAAAATGTATGAAGGATTTTAATGTAAATGTAACTTCTAGACATTTAAGTAAATGTGATATATATTAATATGCATTGGTGAAGATGGATTTTTATTTTATCAATCACATACTTGGAGTATTATCTGTATTTAATGATGCCCTAAAATCTAGTTCTCCAGCCTTAAAACTCCCTGGAGTTGGTAGTTCTGACAGTTTCATATGGATGTCTAATTGGTGTCTTAAACTCAGCATAGAGCTGGGTGCAGTTGGGCATACCTGTATTCCCAGCAACTCGGGAGGCTGAGGCAATAGGATCGCAAGTTCAAACCCAGCCTCAGCATCTTAGTGAGCCCCTAAGCAAATCAGCAAATCCCTGTTTCTAATAAAATATAAAAAGGGCTAAAGATGTGGCTCAGTAGTTAAGCACCCCTGGGTTGAATCCCTGGTATCAAAAAATTTAAAAAAAGAAAGAAAGAAAGAAACTTAGGATAGAATTCTCAGTTTCTTCCCAAAACATTCCTCTATAGTTTTCTCCATCTCAGTAAATGCCACCAGCACTCATTTTCTCAAACAAAAACTTTAAGATTTTTTTCTTTCTTATTACCCACATCTGTCCCTCAGCAGGTTATGTCAAGATAACCCACAAACATACCCAGAATTTACTCTCATAACCACTTCTGTGTCCACTGCTATCATCCCAGACCAAGCTACCTTCCTTTCGTGCCTTAACTAATGTCTGGCATCCTAACTGGTTCCCCATGCTTCTGAGCTTGCCTCAATAATATTTCATTCTCCATATAGCAATTAGAAGGTTTAAATCATACTCTCACTCTCCTACTTAGAAATATCTAATTCTTTTCCATCATACACAGAATTATATCTTTTTTTTTTTAATTTTTTGAGTTCTCAGCAGACATAACATCTTTGTACATGGTGCTGAGGATCGAACCCGGGCCGCACACATGCCAGGCGAGCACGCTACCGCTTGAGCCACATCCCCAACCCAGAATTATATCTTGATTCTTTTCCCTAATTTACAAAAACCTTACATGAGCTGGCTTCTGCCTACTTCTTTTCAACTTACCATTCTGAAGTCCTGCATACCACACTGACTTACTTTGTGTTATTTGAACACAAGTAACTCATTCTTTTGTTAGACCTTGGTACAAGCTGTGGCAAGATGCTCTTTACCTGATCTTTGTAAGACTGGCTCCATCTTTTTTTTTTTTCCTTTGGTACTAATGGGGATGCTGTACCTTAGCAGCCCAGTGGTGCTCTACCACTGAGCTACATCCCCAGCCCTTTTTTTAAAAAATTATTTATTTTTTTGTTCTAATTTGTTATACCTGACAGCAGAATGCATTTCAATTCATTGTATACAAATGGTTGTACACATTTTCATTTTCTCTGGTTCTACACAAAGTAAGAGTCATATCATTCGTGTCTTTTTACATCTACCTAGGGTCTTGATGTCCATGTCATTCCACCAACTTTCCTTCCCCTTCCTCTCCTTTGCCCTATCCAAAATTCCTCCATTTAGCCCATGCTCTCCCCAACCCCCCATTATAGATCAGCATCCACTTAGCAGAGAAAACATTCGGTGCTTGTTTTTTTGGGGATTGGCTTACTTTACTTAGCATGATATTCTTCAGCTCCATGCTTTACCTGCAAATGCCATGATTTTATTCTCTTTTAATGCAGAGTAATATTCCAGTGTGTGTGTGTGTGTGTGTGTGTGTGTGTGTGTGTGTGTGCGTGTATTACAGTTTCCTTATCCATTCATCTATTG